ACATTTATGTTACACTCTGACAAAGAGTTGGATGTGTTTTGTCCATGTCTTAAATTTTTTGGAGAGGCTTAGTTTAAAAAAACAAAATGAACTAATTAATTTAGCAGCAGAAATTTTAAGAGAGATTAGTATTCAGGATGTGATGTCATCATTGTTGTTTGATTTTAATGAGCTGTATAGTGAAAATTAAAAACAAAAAGCATAGCAGAAGGATCAGAAAATCTTGCTGCCTAGACAGAAAAAGGAACACATTAAAAAATGTAATCAATAAAGAGATCAATGCCATTAAAGAAAAGTCAAGCAGATTTTACTGGGATAAAAAGAAATTGGCCAGACCACACACACTAATGGGTCAAAAGTATGAAATGGCAAGGTCATGAGAAAGACTTTTCTTGAGAGGAAAGAGCAACTGGGATACTCTCTTCGCAAAGGACCTTATAGGGAAGAATTTTCCCAGCTTCTGCCACCCAGGTATTCACAGACTACTGTGACCACTGTCCAAGGTGACCACATGGTTGACAGACATTGACCTCATCCATGAGGTGCTTGTTTTGTGGACATACAGAAGTACAAGGTGACTTGCAGGAAGTACAAGGTGATTGAGGCTTCTCAGGTTTTTAAGAATGTGTATGGAGGGGGTGGTTTTCTGCAGAGAAGCCATCAGAGTGTGATAAATGAAGCTGTGAATCTGGGGCCCAAGCTATGATGTAACGCTGGTATGGTAGAGATACCAGAAATGTGGAATATCTCCCAATAACAGTTCTAGGCTACAAATTCAAGTCAGCCCCCCAAAATAGTCAGGTGGACTGCAGATGGCAAGAGCAAAGGAATGGAGTTAGCCAAGTTTGGAGCTCACATACACCACCATTTACTCTGGGTGTTGGACATGGAGTTGTAGGATTTAATTATAATCTTCCTTGTTTTACATCTTAGGTTCTGTGATCATTTGAATAAGAATGGTTCCCACAGGCTCATATATTTGAATGATTAGTCACGAGAGAGCGGAACTGTTTGAAAGGGTTAGAAGGTTTAGGAAGTGTGACTTTGTTGGAGTAGGTGTTGGCTTGTTGGAGAAAGTGTGGCAATGCAGGTGACTCTGAGGTTTCAAAAGCACATGCCAGGCCAATCTCTCTGCCTGCCGCCTGCCTGTGGATCAGGATGTAGAACTCTCAGTCACCTCTCCATCCCCATGCCTGGCATGCATGCCACCAAGCTCCCTGCCGTGATGATAATGGATTAAGCCTCTGAAACTCTGAGTAAGCCCCCAATCACATGCTTCCTCTTCCAAGAATTGCCTTGGTCACACTAAGACAGGTTCCATCTCTCCTTTCTATGACCTAATGTGGATACTGTGGACCATAATATACTGGACATGCATAACTTTCTTCCTATTTTGTAAAAGGTAAATGGAAGTATCAGAAGAATTTTGATGGCTTCTAGAATTTGGATTAAATACATTTCCCATTATGGGATGGGCATTAGCCATTGGAAGCAAAGGTCAGAATGTTATGGCTTGACTATATAGCATCCCCTGTGGGAATCATGATTTGAATGCTTAGTCCTCAGATGGGAATGTTATTTTGGGAGGACCTGGAAACTTAGGCAGTATGATAACCTGGAAGAAGCAGACCACTAGGGGTGTGAAAGGACCACTGGAGGCTAGAGGTCAACCTTACGTGTCTTTCTGTATCACTCTCATGTTGTTCTTCTTGTTGTTGTTAAGACACAGTCTCTCACTGACTCTGGAGTTCAGCAAATGGCTAGACTGGCTGGCTAGCTGAGTCCCTGTCCCAACCTACCAGTGCTGGGATTACAGGTATTTGCCACCATACACAGCCTTCTACATGGGTAAGGGATTTCCAAAGTCAAGATCTCATGCTGTACAGCAAGCACGTTAACCCTGACCTACGTTTCTCATCCCAGAGGCATTAATTGATTACCCATGTTAAGCTGAATTTTAGGACACAGAATCTTTGTGGAATCAACAAATGCATGAATGTATGATCAGCTCCACTTTTAGCAGTGAAGAAGATCAAAGTCGGAAACAAGAAGTGGGTGAAAAGCCAGACTGACACTTTCTGGCTCTGACTCCTGGGCCTTGGAAACTTTTGCAAACTGCATCAAGTCCCACTGTCACTGTAAAACACGATAAAGTCACCTCCGTCACTGTTTTCGTAACAAAGACAAAGGTGGATGGATAGCCAGCACGACACGGAACAAACCAGAGGAAGGCACGACACTGGAACCTGACATGCCACACATCGTGTCTCACTAGGTCCAACACGGCCAAGTCCTCCCTGGAGCTGGAAAACATTGCTGTTGATTCAGTGGCACACCAGATGAAGCTGTTGGCCTGCCTTCAGGAGCCATGTTGTAACAAAAACGAAACTGCTCCGAAAACATCAAATCCACACCCAGCCAAGTGAGACACACATCGTGCCGAAGCAACTGTGCCAAGCTCACATCTCTCATTTCTCCAGCCACCACTTCTCCACCTGCTAACAGAAGCACGCTTCTGTTTATTTCTACCTGTCTCCCAAGGACTCTGGAAGGGCAAACACAGATATGTGTTACACAAAACTTTACAAAGCCCACGCTAGTAAAATAAAATCAATTTGTTGCCTCTATGCTTGCTTTATATGGCCAACATTTACATTAAAGCAACATCTGTACATATTATCATGGAATCCCAGGGGCACCTTCGTAGTATCTGGTCTAATGCCACTGTGAAGACCTACCTGCCATAAAGAGCAGCTCACATAGGATCTCACTTGTTCCCAATGTTACCCTATCCATGTTGCACTTAACACATTTCCATCACTTAATGATCTGATTTCAGAGTCTTTATAATCTTTCAGCGACTCCAGTAATGTCTTTTGCAGCCACAAGGCAGGTAATCCTCCATGTGACACTTCAGATACTTGAAGACAGTCATCATATCCTCCTCTTCTTGTCACAAGACCAGTCATTCTGGGTACCAGCCACCGCATATGCAAAATTTATCAGTGTCCCCATTACAGGGTGGCAGAACCCAGCCTGCCCATAGATTAAGTTCCTCTTCTGAGTAGTCTTTTCTACCCTGGGGAAACAGTTGCCTGTGTTTTGTAGTGAGACAAGGTAAATAGTTCTTCATATGTATTCATTTTGTTGACTCAAGACACAGATTATAAATGTCTACTACCTTAATGCCACAAAAAGAAATCCAATAAAAAACCATTTTTTTGCTCACCTGTATCTACCTGTTTCATTTTCTCAACTAATCATTTAATAAGCTTTGCCAATGTTTTCTCTTGTGGGACACATATTTAGAGGCCTGAGCATGAGGTTTGTTTTGAGTTGTGCATGGTCTGAAGTTCGCTGTGTTCTCTGGGGAAATTTAGTATTAGAAGCACCTGTGTTTCGCTTTTGTTTTTTATTAGTATACATTAATTATATAAAGTTCTTCCCTTTCTTCCTCTCTTCCTTTTCTTCTTCGTTCCTTCTTTCCCTCCTTTCGCACAGACTCTCAGGTATCCCTGGGTTGGCCGTGAACTTTCTGTGTCACTGAGGATGACCTGGAATTCTTGATTCTCCTGCCTCCACCTTCTGAGTACTAGGATTACAGACTTTCTGCCCCACTAAAGTAATGAGGTATACCGTATCGTTTCATTGTGTGCCTATGATGCCCTCCGATCATTTCACCTCCTGTCAGTCCTTATCGCTCTCTTTCCCTCTTCCCCTTCCCTTTTCCATCCTTTGTCGTCTTCCATTTAGCCCCATGCCTTTCCATTTCTCTGTAGCTTTTGCAAATGAGGCAAAGTATGTTAAACCCTGACAGAACAAAATGGACGAAACTGGTGACCCTCCTGCTGAGCTAGTGAGTCCTCTAAAGGAATCCAACTTTGAACATTTCCCATCAGCCACTATTTGAAATGCCCCCGAGCCTCCTGTTCATGACTGTACACACCATCCCTGGAAATCAAGACACTAACTCACATTTTTGAATGCCAGCGGAGTATGAGGGTTAGCATATGTCTATTGCTCAATGTTGCTCTTGTTGGTTGTAGGTTTTAATTTGTGTATGTTTACCTTTCCTTTTCCTGGAATATACTTGACATTGGCTATCATTATACATAGTTTTTGCACCAGGTTTAAAACCTTGTCCTTTAGACTAAAAGGGGAATTGTGGCTGTGTCTAGTCGGTGAATCTGTAACAGTGACCACACCCCTTTGGGCGTAGTTTCAGGCAGATGGAAACAGAAGAAAGAAGCTAGAGGCATGGCTTTCTTTTGAGCAATTGTTCTGGTGGGTAGGAAGGGCAGAGAAACGCTCCTGCAGTTCCTTGTATTTTTCTGTGTAACTGTTCCCCGATAAACAGCCATTTATCATTTATCTTGAGTCTAGTGGAATCTTTACACCGATGCCTTCAATGAGGACTATCATGCTAGTTTTCAAGAAGAAAAACTGTAACATGGTACACCAACTAGCCTGACACGAGTTAAGAGCTGAGAGCAGAGCAAGGGCATCTCACCCATAGCTGGAACAGACTGACAATTGGAGTTCACTGAGCTCCCATAGTTCCATGCTCCTTAGAAGACCAGTGGTTTAATGGTTCCTCTCTTTGCAACCTGTTCTAAGTACTCTTTGTGATTTACAGCAACAAGGATGTGCCACAGACCCACTGTGACGTCTGTTTATAGTTTTTTGCTAAGAGTTGGCAAGCTTAAACTGAGGTGTTGGGAAAATTATTCATAGTCATAGAGGAGGACAGGGAATGATGCTGAGCAGGCTTTCAATGAGATGCCCTTAATGCGAACAGATATAAAAGAATACTGCGATATAGTACTAGAGTGCATGCAGATGAGCAAGCTAGTTTTCCTGAAGGCTCAGAGATGTATAAGGTCACAGTGATTACTTCGTGATGAACAGTTTATTTGTGAAGCACAGTTTTGTTCATCGCTAGTGGAGCAATCAACCTGACTTTCCCAAAACACTTGACCTAGAAGAAACACACCAACACGTTAGTCAGAAATATAACTTTATTATCATAATATTTCATAATCTAAAAACTTCCTCTTTTTTCACCCTGGGATCAGAAATATTCTAACTTCTACACAATTAACTGACCCTGCAGAATACTGGAAAACAGCTTCCAAGCAAGCCACACTTACAGATAAGAATATGTTCTTAGTTTCTGGGGGAAGGTTGGGAGGAAAGAGCAGATCTTTTCCCCTTACAAAACAAATAATAAAGTTCAATTTTTACATTAGTTAAACATTGACTATTGTTTCTCAAAAACTTTGGTGATTTATTCAAAAAGTCACTGTCTCAAATCTAAGGTTGATTGCCTCAGGGAACAAAAAACAAACCTGAAGATAGTGCATAAATGGAACTTGGCCATGGTGTGAATGAATGATCCCCTCCCCGAACCAGTTCCCGTACTTCAACAGCAGATTTATGTCCCTAGGAAGTCTATTGAGCTTAGTACATTTCCTTGCATGGGGGTCAGAATCCAGATGAAACTTAAAAGAAGTTTTTAATTTAGTAATTAAATCTCAAAACCATTTGTCTTGTGTAACGTCTATAGAGTAGACACAACATTACAGTGCTTCCCAAAGATGAATGTGTATCACTGTTAAAGAGGGCTGCCATTCCTCCTCGGCATGTTCAATAAACACCAACAATGAATTACTTTAAATAAAATGAGAAACAAGTCCGGCTATACTATCTTCAAAACCAAGCTGGTGGTGTTGAGTACATACTACAAAGGGACAGGGAGCATGCAATACGATCACCCAGTCACATCTTCAGTCTGGGGAAAGCTAAAATGCAATCATGACATGAACCTCAATAATAAATAACTATGGAGGAGATTTCTTATCTAAATAAATGATAATACTACCGTTCCCACAACATCAGCCTCAACAGTGACATCCACAGCTGTGTTCTTTCCCTTGGTATCTGCCTATATACACCACACAGAAGATCTGCCCCCAGAAGCCAGAAGTCAGTGAGGACTCAAGCATCAGCCTTTCCATGAGGAGAGGCTCAAAGCATCTGAAGATGATGAGTTCTCCTTTTCAGTTTATTGTCATCCTAAGTAACTGCTTTATTATCTATTTTTAATGTAATGCTACTCAGATGATTGTTGCAATAACAATAATTCTACTAGTGTTAATTAGGTTATAGTTCTCATTTTTGAAGTAAGAGAATTTGATTTCCAGAAGCAAAGTTATATAGTTTTAAAGCCACCCACCACAAACACATACATCTTCCATGAGTATTTAAAAATAAATTATTAATATGCTTGACATATATATATATTGTATGTGTATTATATATGTATATACTTATGGACAACATTATCCCTGTTTGAGGAAGGATGTCAGCATGTGCACACTCTAGAGACCTGATAGTATTGTGCGATTTAAGGAAAAACATGGACATTCCTTCTAGAAGAACATTTAAAAAAATGGGAGATTCTTGAGAGTTCTTCTACGGGAACAATACCATTTGCGGAGGATGGTGTCAGAGGTCATACATCCTTTTATTTTTCCTGAAATTACAATAGAATGCACTGCACAATGAACACCCTAGGTGTATGGCTGACAGGTGGGAAGTGTACACTAGTCATAGAAGCAATCGGAGGTGAAGTGAGCTTCCGGGTAGAAAAAGAAAACAGCAAAGAGAAGGGCATGCTTGCTCACAGTTAACAGATAGCAAGCCTGTGGTACTTCCGGGGAAGCAGGTGGCAGCAGAAGCTGGGCGTCCCTGCAGCATGTCCAGGGTGTTCCTGGTACGCTGAATGTGCCATCCTCTGGCACTTCAAGAACTCGGACACCGCACCAATGATGCTGCTGACCCCAAGGGTTTTAGCAGCTACCTAGGTACAGGCTGGCAGACAGCTCTGAGGGTGTCACGTGCTTAGCCAAAGAAGGCAGGTGGGATGCGCCCAAATCTGAATGAATGTGTTCTGAAGGACCCCAGATCTGAATTAAACAAACCTAAAAGCCACCTGGCAAAGTGAGAACCAAGGTCTAACTGAACCCATCAGTAAGCCACCCAGGAGAATGAAGTCTTGATTAACCAGAACACTCAAGGGTATCCGGAACTTTTTCTACAGAGACTTTCAAATGTATCAAGGGGAATTTAAACACAAACAAGAACAAAGACCTTTTATTTCACTACCCTGGCCAGAACTTTACACTCCCAGCTGGGTGTGGTGGCACATGCCTGTAATCCCAGCACCCGGGAGGCAGAGGCAGGAGGATTACTGCCAGTTCGAAGCCAGCCTGGGCTACATAGCAGAGCCAGGCCCTGCCTCAAAACACCAACAATAATAAGATATAGCTTTTTAAAAAGTAGAAGAACTTCACAGTCACATTCCTTGCCCCATAATGCAGAGAGCAGTGGACATGAGGGCCTGGCATCTTGTGTGACCTGAGTAATGACCACTGCACAGAAGTCCAGATGCCAGGACTGCTGGAGACCGGGCCAATTATTCTAGAAGTTATGGGTTCATGTCTACCAGAACTCAAATTTTACTTTAGTATTTCTTATTGTTTATGTAATTTGCTTTGCTTGCACCTCAAGTAGGTTGAAATACAATCTTGGTTCACAGAGACCCCCTTTGCTAACTTCTGGTTCATCAGGGTGTCCCTGTGGGCCCCTTGCTCTGCGGTGTCTTCCTACGGCAACATGCCCAAAAGGACAACCCTGTTGGCCCCTGGGACATCATTCCCCAAGCCCTGTGGCGATGTCTCCGAGCCACCCATGCTCTAGATGATATTCACAATTGCTGTCGGCTTCTTCTTAGCCAGTTTGGGCCTGAAGTTGCCTTTCCTGCTCAGGCCCAGATGATCCCCCTTCTTCGCTGGTCTGAAGAATTCTCTTGGAGACTCAGCCTGTTCGTGAATGGCCTTGGCAGGCTGCATCCCGACTCTTTCATCCTTGGCCTTCTTCAGGTAGCTCCTCCCCTTTAGGTGGAGATGGGCCCTCAGCTCTGGGTGGTTACACACAGAATGTGCATGCCCTCGGCTTCTAGAGGGGTCAAGGAGAGGAACACACACAGAGAGCCTTCTTTATACCTTAAAAGCAACACATCTAGCCACTCCTGTTCTCCATGGCGACCGTATTCCAGCTGACATAAGTCACTGGTATTTCAATTCCCTACAGTTCTTGTGACTGAGTGAAGCTAAATCCCAGGGGCATATTGCTAACTCTACTACTAATGACGAAACAGCCACAGAAAATGTAGACTAAAAGGATGCTGTGCAGACATGCAGGATGGAACTCACATCTCTTAATTCTTCAGGTGATCATCGGGAGATTCAGCAAAAGATGTTGTGTATATATTCAAAAGTATGTGATTTATAGAAATAGTGAATATAAAGTAGTAATACACTATATATCACATATGACATGTAGTAATACACTATATATCATATATATATGACATGCTACATATGTAATATATATGTTTCTATATAAACATTATACATTAGTAAGAAAAAATTACAGTAGATAACACCCTGGGAAGATCACTCCACTGTTGCTAGAGTATCGCTCACTGACCAGCTGCTGGCTATTTAAAAGTGGTACCCGCCTGCAGGTAAACATTCATGTAAGTCTTCTTATGAATCCACTCATTGATATATTATCAAATGCAATGGGAAAGCATACAGTATAAACATTATCCAATGGCCTGAGTATATATTAAAAAAAGACATACGTACAGACATCTGGGCTTCCTATTCGATGAGATGTCTGTGAGCTGATGGGAAACAAATGAAGAGAAAACATTAGTTCACTTGAAGGCTTGGTGTGTCTCGTGCATATATGTATGTGGGGAGGGGGCTGAATGGAGTATTCAGTTGGGGCATGCACTTAACCAAGCACGTGTATGCAGCAGTTAGAGAAAGACACTGGATGTCTTCCTATGCGTATCTCCACCCTATTCTCGAAAGGCAGGGTCTCTCCCTGTACCTGGAGTTTATTGTTTTCATCTAGGCTGTTAAGTCCCAGGGATCCACCTGTCTCCTGCACCATCACCCCTGCAGTATATGGGTTACAGGCACACAGAGCCATGCTCCATGTTTTATGTTGGTCCTGGGGATCTGAACTCAGGTCCTCACAGCAAGCACTTTACCTGCTGACTCATCTCCTCAGCTCCTGGATACGTGTTTAAAACTCTGGCTTCTCTAAGACACTAAATTCTCATTAAGGAGCTCTGTAAGTAGTTGGTGGCATTACCTAGGGTGCCATCGCTTGCATCCAAGAACAGCAGTATCCCAGATCTGCTTACTCAGGGAGCCTCTGTGGACACCTGCTCTTAGTTTCCCAAGAAGGTTGTATCAGAATATCTCAAAACTTAAAAAAAAGCCTCCCAATAAATCTGTGTTGGAAAAAGCATGTTTTTAAAATCCAGCACAATGTGTCATTATTTCTTGGGATCTGGCTGTATTTGCAGCTGATTTAGTACAGCTGTAGCTAGTCACAAAGTACCAACTGAGAGGAAATGAGCATCAAATGTCATTTCCTAAATATATCATTTCTAAAATGAGAACATATGAAGACCAACCCCACATATGTCCCCAAGGCCGTCTACCATCGTGATGATGTCCGTTCCTAATAGCCCATGAAATAAAATATCTGCCTGTACTTTGTGGCTGGGCTCAGAGTGCCTTCATTGGCAGCATAAATTGATGATTATCATATTGTGATCCAGATGCCATCATATTCCACTTATGGGGAAGCCCAGGGTACTGCCAGCCCTAGGTTCCCAACCTCCCTCAAGCAGCTCTCCCTAGCATGAAGTCATGTCACATCTTCAAGCAGATTCAAAAAGGAGAAGGATGAAAAAAATATGGGAGAAAGGCCTCCTTGGAATCTAGACCAGGGGAATTATGACATGCTCAGTATCTGCTGAAGATTCGGTTTCATGTCTCTTCAGGCCACCTGTTCCCCTACCTCCTCAGTGTGGTCCTCCAGCAGGGCCCATGCTTCTTCCAGGATGCAAATGAAGCTGTCACCTCTGTATTCCTCTGCTGCTTCCTCCCAGCCACCGCCTCTTACCTTCGATCATAATAGCCTCCTAGCCTCTCTCGTTATGATGCCCTTCCCTCCTGGAAGCCTCCCCATAGCTTCCCTGTGCACTGGGAATAGATGTATGTGGTGCTCACACCATGAGCAAGTCCGAGGTATAGGGAAATGACCAGACGTCCAGCCGTTTGTGCTAAGAGAATGCGTCTGTGCCTTTATTACCAGAGAATGCGTGTGTGTATATGTCTTTATTGAAAGTGCTAAAAGATCTGTCTCTGTCTCTCTCTCTCTGTAGAGGGAGCAGGCTTATATACAGACTTACAGCACAGTGGAAAAACTCAGGTGTTAGAGCTTGTGTTTTCCTCGTGCTAGATATTGACTTCAGTGGGGCAAGGCCGGGGCTGTAAGCCAGGACTAGAGAGCAGGATGCACCTGTGGCTATCAGCTGACAAGCAATGCCCAGAGTTCTGTGGGGGCTGGGACCCAACAGATCTAAACTCCTCTCCCATGACCTGCAACTTTGCCTCCTACCACTCAACCATGCCAAGCTTGCCCCTTCCCAGCACCTGCGAGGCAGTATCCTTGCCTAGAACACCCTGCTTCTGACTTTCCACAGAACTGTGATCCCACGTCATCCAGGCCAAGTGCAGGGTAGGGCTCTTTCTCTCTCCATTGCCCCAAAGCATCTCTCCATCCCGAACACCTCAGACGTTGTCACCTCATCATCTTTCTCTGACTTTGCAGAAGTTGGCATCGTGCAAGAATGTCATTATTGCTGTCCCCTCCACACAAGAGAAAAAGGACCTTGCTCATGGCATCAGAACCTCATGAGCACTGTGCCCTCAATAAATACGTGTTAATGAATTACTGCTAGTCCTCACTTAGCAGCCTGGAGGAAATGAACGAAGTACTTAAACCAAGATTATCCAAGCTGTTTCACAATCCTCCATCTGAGTGGTTCTGAGAACATTTTTTTTGGCAGATGGGATATTAGGTCACTTTGAATCTGATTTGGCAGCATTTTTTAGAGCACAAAGATAAAGTACCTGAGTAAGCATACTATATTTTTAGAAATCGGCCAGGTGAAAAAGAACATAGATGCTCAAGGGGATTCGGGGAAAGATGCAGGATGCCAAACATTGTTTCAGAAAAAGCACAAAAGGTAAGTAAGGGAAAGGAAGCTTCTCACAGCACGGAAGGATGCAATGCTAATAGTCACCTTCTGGAAGAGACAAGCCACCTAGCACTGTAAGGATGACCGTTCTCTCTGGAGTGTGTCTAGGGGCAGGGGGAGAGGAACGGGCAGTGAGAGAGAAGCATCCAAGCTATTCCTTCTCCATTGCTGTTTTACCTTTGTTTGTTACAGTGACTGAGTTTCCAACTACTAGCAGCCAGCTGCTAAGGCCATAGCCTGGGGGTGGGGGTGGGGGAATTCTGTTTCCCCACACAATGGCTCTGTTGCTGCCACTAAAGGTAGTTCTTACTAAATCTCTAACAAAGGCTAGGGTGAAAACCTGTGAGCTCAGAGAATTAGAATAGCAACCCGCTAACTTTCTCTCTTTGCTGGTGTCTTGGGAAGTCATTCCCCAACTTAAAAAACAAACAAGCTAGGCTACTTCTTGTCAACCCGTTGCTAACCCCGCCTCTCTGAGCCCAGGTTAATTTGATTTAATTAATGCAAATACAGCATATCTTTACATGGTTCACAAAAGCAGCAGAAACAAATGTAACACACCTTCACAGAGTTAAATAGTATTCCACAGCATAAACAATGTAACACATCTTGGCCCAGTTACAATAATATCCCACAACACTCCATAGTCACAGAGAGTGTGGGAGAGAAGACCTAGCTCTCTTTACTCTGGGTCTTTCTCAGACCAGAGCTCCAAACTACAACAATTAGGCGGTTCCTCTCACTGCAGCCTGATCGTGCTAGTCACACAGCTCTCATATCTAAATTGCTCATTCCAGCCTCAACTGAACTTAATAGCATTTGGATTAGCCAGTGCTTCCTTAGGTTGAGCCAGCTGGCTTAGGGTAGATCATGTGGTTGAACCATAAAAGAGACAAGCATAAATACTTAATTTATGTGTGAATGAATTTGTTTGTGTACACTGTGTGAATTTTCACATGTTCACGTGTGTGTATATGTCTGTGTAAGTATACATACATTTCATGTACAGTTTTGCAAATATATATCTGACCAGAAGAGGAGGGCTACTATTCAGCTTTTGATTGCAAGATTAAATACATGTGAAAGACTCCATTTTCAAGCTGGGAAAATAAGTTGAGCAACAGGCATGAGCACAGAAAGCTTCACTGTGTTTTCTTTTAAGGCCCCATTGGTAGAGTGCAGGATTTTACACATGGCTGTGCTTGGGGTAACTTATCCAACTACATACCAAACATGTTAATGCTGTATACAACTTCAAGACCCCGAGACACCACAGGTAAACTGATAACTTAAGAGGCCAAAAGGGCTTTGAGAGCACTGGCCCCACTCACTTAGATTTTCCAGAAGAGTTACAGGTCCAGGAAGGCAAACTGTCGTGGCTCAGCAAGAAGCAAGTTAAGCGTGTTCCAGAAGCCAAACCTTTTCACCTGAGATCTATGCTCCATGACCTCAGGCCACAGCCCTTCCCTGGGAGAGGGAATGATGCAAGAAGGTGGCCAGGAGGACTCAGAGTGTCCCTCCAGCTGCTGCTAGTCAAGAGAGGACATACTCTAACTAGGTAAGACATTATTGGGATTGTCCTGAAACTGATTATTTTATTTTATTTATCTTTCCATTCTATACAGAAGGCAGATTTGACCATATACTCACCCTGCTTGGGACATGGTCAGACACCCTACTGCCCTTGAGAAGCCAGAAGTCTTGATCAATCAAGCCACTTAACAACACCTGGATTCCTAAGCGCCCAGGGGGATTTAATTTAGGCTGGCGGTAGGCTTTTTAAGCCTCTGAGGCCCCTGTGTGAAGTAGTATACCAAAACCTATCTCCTGCCATGGATTCTTTTTGAATAGCCACTCAAAGGGAGTTTTACTTACGAGCACGGTTGAAGAGCATTTTCCTCCCTTGTAAAGAGAGCCGAGTGTATATGGCTGGATCTTGCTTCCTTGAAATGATAATCCTCAGAATAGTATCTTGAAGAGCTGCAACCCTGGGTACCTTCTGGTCTACTTGAAAACTAAGGCCAGAGCTCAGATATTTCCAACTTTGTTATTTTACAAGGATAAAAAGTATCTCTACCAATTCAGCTTGGACTGGTGGTCAAAGAAAAGCAGGGAAGTGTGTGCCCTCGAATTAGTTTCCTCCTGAAGCCCTGGTGCCATGGTCAGACGGAGGCACAGCCTGGCTGGGGACTTCAAATGATACTAGAAAGCCCCTGTGAACCCCACAGTTCCCTTCGGTCCTAGCTCTGTCTGGATCCATCCCCACTGGACTCAGGGAACCACCACTGGGGTTTGGCTGGGTTGGACTCACCACGTGCTCGCTGATATCGCGGCTGAAGCCGGAGGCCTGCTGGCTTTGATAGTACTCCAACTGCTTTTCCGCCAGTTCTACCCGTTGCAGGAGGTTCTCAATGAAGTCCTGGAGCCTCGCTTTCCCTTGAACTTCCTTCTCAGCAGCCTCTTCCAGGAAATGGTTGAATGTGACAACTTCTCTGTAAAGGAAAAACGCAAAGTGACATTGGAAGTCACTCATTCACTGCCCACTGACAGACACCTACAGTTCATCAGTTGTGATGGCCATGGCATAAGATGATAGGATTGCATGCTGAAGGGGGAGCCAGTCACCACAGAATGTCAAAATAAACGCGTATGTCAGGAGGTATGTTAACACTGAAACTAGGTACAAGGTGACAAAGTGACTGGGGGAGGGACGGTGGCAATACTTCAGAAAGGAAAATCAAGATCAATCTTTTAGATGGAGATACCAGAAGGAAGTCCTGAGGAAGAAGCCCCAGAGACACCTGGGAATCAGAATCCAGATAGACGCAGATGGATCTGAGTCTGTGCCAGCATGTGCACATAGAGAAAGGAGCTCAGATGCTTATAGGTGATCCTGAAGACCCCAGACTTAGGAAAAATGATAGGAGAGACTACGGGGCACCGAGACACACACCTTTCTTTCCATAAGGAACAGCATAGGATCTCTAGATAGGGAAGAAGGTAGAGTGCTGCTCTAGCTTACACAAAACCCTGGGTTTGATCCCTGGAACCACACAAAACTGGGCATCGTGGTGCATGTCTATAAGCCCAGCATTTGGAAGCTGGAGAAAGGGGGATTAGAAGTTCAATACTGACAACCTAAAATTCGCATGCAAATGGACAGAACTAGAAAAAAAAGCATCGTGAGTGAGGCAACATGAAACCAGAAAGACAAATATAGTATTTACTCACTTATAAGTGGATACCAGACATAAAGAGAAAGATACTCATCCTACAATCCGCAACCCCAGAGAAGCTAGAATCCTCTTCCAGAAACATATGGAAGCAAATGCAGAAATCCACAACTAAGCAATGGGCCAAGCTCCTGGAGTACAATTGAAGTGAGGGAGGAGCGATAATATGAACAAAGGAGTCAAGACCATGATGGGGAAACCCACAGAATCAGCTGACTCAAGCTAGTGAGAGATCACTGACTCAGGTCTGACAAATGGGGAGTCTACATAAGACTGACTAGACTCCCTTAATATAGGTGACAATGGTGTGACTGGGACAATATATGAAGCCACTGACAATGGGTCCAAGATCTAACACTAATGCACAAACTGACTTAGTGGAGCCCATTCTATATGGAGAAATACCTTGCTCAGCCTAGACACAGTGGTATGGGAGAGGTGGAGAGGTATCTTGATCCTGCCTCAAGGAGATAATGGGACAGACTTTCTAGGGGATGCCTTACCCTCTCTGAGGAGCAGATGGGAGGGGGGGAGTTAGGGAAATGGGAGGAGAAGAGGGAGGTGGAACTGGGATTGGAATGTAAAAAACAAATTAATTTAAAAAAATTTTAAAAAGAACTTCAAGATCATCATCAGCTACCTAGTGAGTTTGGGGCTAGCCTGGACTACATGAGACTCTGCCTCAAAGACAAACCAACAAAAGGCAGGAGGTGTGGGGATTGCATTTATAACTTCTTTGGTAATTATACTCCAAACCATAAAACACTTGTTCAAGGTACCTGACAGAACAGTGGATCTCAGTGTAAGAGAACAAGATGTTCATGATCTGGCTTCTGATTCCACAGTATAGTTACTCTTTTAGAAACAACCACCTCTTGAGTTTTGGCAGAGCATCATCTGCGGTTGTCTACAAAGATTAAAATACCCCTCAACCGGCTCACAAGGTCTCTGTGTGGCCTCCACCCATCTTTCATCTATTTTCATTCAAACAATAAAACAGTTGTACCAAATTGAATTCAGAACTACTAAAGTCTAGATGTGCTCGAAGAAGACAGATATTAACAGTGCTCGCAGGGTGCACAAGAAGGCTCAGTGGGTAAGGGAGCCCGATGGTCTCCAGAACCCACAAAGAAAGGAGAACCCCAGCTCCTTTGACCTCATCCACACTCACCCACACTTGCAATAATGATAGTAAATTAAACTTTAAAAATAAAATGTTTGTGAAACATGTAAAGCAATATCCCTCTTCTTACTAAATTGTTTTGAGGGAGACGGTTATTTTTTCATAAAAATCTGTGGTCTGTGCTAACAGTTGATGCATTTTGTGTGGTGGTTAAGGCAGATATTACAAACGGTAGATCCTGAAATATCCAGCGACAAAGGTTTATGCCTAGGAAGAAGGACATGATGTAATTCCACAGAGCGGTGAAGCTCCCTTCATGGTTTTAATTTAGGTTGTTGCCCTGCTGAGTCAGAACACTGCATGAAACTCTGGCAGGCCAGATGCAAAGATAAGGGCCAACCGTAATGGAATTCAGTCAGGGTGTGTGTGGGGAGGGGGGGGGAATCTCCTTAACCACTCCGAAGTCACTTCCTGTCCCATGGTTGACGTATCACTTACGTTTGTAAAAGAAGGGTAAACTATTACTAAATCCAAGATTTTATGGAAACTATACCTATTAAAAGCAACATTTAACTCTAAAAGGGGAAGATGCCAGTTACGGTGTAAGAAATTGACATTGAAGCTCATTTCTATGCAGTGATTTGCAGCTCTGGGACTCTTGATTTAGTCCCAGGATTTAAAGGCATTGTGAAATCAGCACAGGTGATAAAAGGCACAGAGGGGAAAGCCCTTTCTGTGCAGCCAGAACTTCAGGGGGGAAAACATTGCTTACTCATGCTTTCACTCATTTATCGGATGGCCATAAACTGTGGAACCTGAGTAGCATTACTTTTATTTATTACTGAATGTATTTATTTATTTAGTGTGTGTGTGTGCACACTCCCACACGCACGCACGCACATGCTACTGTGCGTATGTGGAGGTCAGAAGACAACTCTCAGAAGTGAGTTCTCTCTTCCTACCACATGGATCCTGGGGTTCAAACTCAAAGTCTTCAGCATTGGTAACAAACACTTTTAACTCGCCAAACCACCTCACCAACCCATTGTATTTACATTTTTTAGAGACTGAAGCCCCACGGATTAATTCTTCAGAGATGCGTTAAAGGCAGCTAACCTTGGAAAACTCAAAATGTACCATCACATGGCCAACACACCTCGAAGGAAATTTAGAAAGTGATGGAAATGGTGAGGGATAGCTCAGTGAGTAAAGATATCTGTGTGTGGTGGCTCCCACCTATCATCCCAGACCTGGGGAGGTGGAGACAGACAGACAAGTGGATCTACAGGGACCATTGGCCTGCCATCCTCGTGCACTGAGTGAGCCCAAGACCAGTGAGAGACTGCCTCAAAAAGCAAGGCAGATGGCACCTGAGGGACTCCACCCAAGGCTGACTTCAGGCTTTCACACACTCATGCACACACAAGAACAGACAACACACACACACACACACACACACACACACACACGCACGCACGCAAGCGGGCGCACGTGCACACACACACACAGAGGTGGGTACTGACAGAAGAGAACATTAATATATTATGATATTCACAATTTGTCTTCATTGAACTACATATTATTAAAGAGGGGCAATGTATGGTCCCTATCACCTATTACAGCTTGCTATCAAAACCTTTTCTTCTCTTTCTACTTCCTTCATTCCAGCACCCAGCCAGAGAGCCAGAGTCTTACCTTGTGACAGAATCTCTCCCTATTCCCTCTCTCAATGCTCTCCCTGGAGGAACCATTCCCAGACACACCCCTATGTGTCATGATGGAGAGCTGTGGGCTCCCACTGAACCTTTTTCTCTTTCAGGGCACCCACCACAGGAGACCAGTTGTGGGATCATTGACTTAGGGGGAGCATACTAGTTACTCGCCTTGATGAGACTAAATAAATAAACAAACAAAAGCACCTCAATGAAGAAAACGTTTATTTTGGCTCACGGACCCAGAGGATGCCATCCCTTGGAGGGGATCTCACCATGTCAGGAGCTTGACGGAGCTGGTCCATGGCATCCATCGTTAGGAAGCACAGAGGGGCACGTGCTAGCCCGCAGCTCACTTTCTCCTTTTTATTCAGTTCAGGACCCCAGCCTGGAGAAGGCTGCTGCCCATATTTGGATCCTTCCACTCAGCTACCCTAATTGAGATAATCCCTCACAGATGTGCCCTGAGATTTGTTTCCATGGTGATGCTAAGTCCCACCAAGTCGACTATCAAGATTAACCATCAGGGACACTGTGTGTAGTCCACAGGAGTTTAGGAGATAACAGAGACCTAACAAATTCTTAATGAAGGACAAGTGTACAACCACAGCTCTACCAGAGCATTGCAATCAAAAGAAAGACCCTTCATTTCCTTTGTTTCTTTCTAGATCGGTCTTGGGGAATAAGCCAATGAATAAACCGCAGACACCCCCTACAGGAGTAGGGTGGGATCTACGCTGGATTCCTGTTTTTTTAAAAATTACTTTCTCACCAGCTGGCTTCCCTTTCCCAAAGGAAGACTAAAGATCAAGTTATTTAAATTTCATTTTACATTACTGATTAATGAATCTCTTCAGGAGTATATGAAACGATAAAATTACCTCCAGCTAAAAATAGTCTAACTATTGATCACATAGCACCTTAGATGGTCTGTCATGTCAGCTAGGAGGCAAACTGAGAAGCAAGAGTCACCCCCTCCAGGCACCAGGAATCCAGCTGCAAGCTTGGAGGGTAGAGGACAGTCCCACAGTCCCCAGGGAGCCACCCAATCTCGAAACTGGCTTCTCCCTGTTTCTGTGGCTCTTTGCCCCACCCATCTCTTTTTGGCTTCTCAGATAAATAAGTATGCTCTTTATTAAGTTTTTTTTGGGGGGTAGCAGATTGGGGGAGATAGCTCAGTGGGTAAAGTGCAAACATGAGGACCTGAGTTCAGATCCCCATAAAACCACATAAAACTGACTTGGTAGCACATCTGCAACTCCAATGCTGAGCAAAAGAATTCCTGGAGCTCATTGGCCAGTCAGCCTACCGGGACTGATGAGTCCCAGGGAGACCATCCTAAAGAAAAGGTAGAGAGTGCTAAAGGAAGACATCCAACGTCAGACTCAGGCCTCACATGCACATGACACAACTGTACACGCCCA